TTTTTTTTTTTTTTTTTCAAAATCTCCTATCTTTCTCTCTCTCTCCCCATTTTTTGCCAAGCTCCTCCTCCAGTGAACTTTGTCGAACTCAAGGACCTGGTTCAACTCTATCCTAGCAACCAAAATCCCATAACCATGGTTTTAAAATTTCAAAAAAGAAAAACAAGAAAAACTAAACCCTAACTATTTGGTAAAATTGAACCCCAACCGGTAGAAATTCTAAATTTACAGCTAATCTTTGCAGGGGATGAAGATTTGGAAGACAAAGGATGGAGATTTGGAAGAAAGAATTTGGATTTGGATGAACCCAAAACAAGAAAAAGATTGCAAAAAATATGAGGAAAAGTGGAAAGAAGATGAGACGCCTGCCACCTCATATTTGTCATGCGAATTCATCCCCCTTTTTTGACTTTCTTATCATTATTTTTATCTATATATCAATGAAGTTCAAACCTAGACTTTTCTTTGCTTATATGTAGGTTAATGAATAAAAGTCTCACGGTTTTTAAGTTCAAATATTGTGATTGGAAGACTTTTAAGTTCAAATTTCGTGGTTGGAAGATTTTTAAATTCAAATTTCATGACTGCAAGACTTTTAAATTCAAATCTTGTGATTGCAAGACTTTCAAATTCAAATCTTGTGAAGAGAGAGATAGTCACTAAGAAAGTCATTAAGAAAGTTTCTATCCTTATGGAGTCCGAGACTCTTCATATTAATTAGAGTTTAATATGATTTTTGGATACCAGTTATTAGTATAAAAAAATTAAAATTAACTTTTGGATCAACCTAGATTAATCATAAGTATCATTTTTTTAAAAAAAATTAATTAATTACACAATAAAAAGTAACCCTCATATTTTCCTTATCTATCTACATGCTATGTAATTTAAACTTAAAATCTAAAGATATTACTACTCATTTATTTAAATCGTGGACACTTGTCACGTAAGTACAATCATGATGAGCGCTAGGTTGATGGAATTGACAAATTTAATGAATATTTACGTAATATGGGCTACTTGAATGAAAGAATTTGAAAATTGAGAGGTCTATTTCCATGTTGCAATTCTCATTATATAAAAATTTTGTATTTTCTTACTTTCCTTATATTTATTTAAAATTTATTTAATAATTTTAAGTTTTTCTAGTTGTGAGTAATCTTCATGCACTCTACATTTGTTTTGCCATCTAATTTGCGAGAGAAGAAACTCTTGAGATAATCCTCCATCCCCACCGTCCTAAATAGTGGTGGATTTTCTGAGTTGATTAGGCTCCTCGCTGGGCCAACTTCTGCTTCTAACTTGCTGTTAATGAATAATGCAAATGAAATCCTTTCTTCCCTTGAATTGATTGTTGCTCTGTGCTCGACGCTTTTGTAAACCCCGTTGCTCATTATCTGCAAAACCCAATATCATTACACCAAGTAATTTCATATTGAATTTAAGAGGACTGCAAACCACTAGTGATCTTCCTTTATCTGGATTTAATAGCTAGTATTTTAAAGTACAGACAAAAATTGAAAAAATCGAAGGTTTATGAAATTTTTTTTTAATTAGATGAAATTAAAATCATAAAATTAAATTGATAAAATTAAGAATTTACTAAATTTAACATATAATATGTAATAACTTATATATAATTAAAACTAAACAATAATAAATAAGATTTAGAGTTAAAATTAATAGATTAAAATTTAAATATCTAATAACACAAACAAATAAATCAATTTTAAAAAGTTACAAATAAGAAAAATAACATAAAAATAATCATTATTTAAACTTATAAAAACAAGCTAAAATAAGGCCCGAATTGTGATCAATGCATTTAAGGGCCTCTCAAATTCTCTCTCTTGTGCTTTTAATTAAGAATTTCAAATGGATTTAGACCATCTAACTCAAATTTAACAAAAGTTAAGGTAAAATAATATAATATTTATTGAAAGTGATCTGATAATTACGAAAATAACTCAGTTATTAAAAAATGAAGAAACTCAGTACAATTTTATGATTTCACCTCAATTTCACCATGAATTCATAGGATTGCATTTGTATACAAATCCGTAGCCTAAAATCTTAAGATTTTATGATAAAAAAAATGCAATTTTAACAACGTTGATTCGGACCATAAAATATTTTTATATTATTTAATAACCTTAATTTTTTTTATTAAAAAAACCTTAAAATAAGAATAAAGAAAGTAACGAACCTCAAGAATGTCTCCAACATTCACAACTAAAGCATCAGGAAGAAAGTTAACTGGAATCCACACGCCGTCCTTTTTTATTTGAAGACCATCAACGCCGTTAACTTGGTTAAGGATGGTGAGGCCGCCGCCATCAGAGTGTGGCCGGAGGCCGACGACCAGCTCCGGTTGCGGACAAGGCGGGTAGTAATTGATCCTCACCAACTGCTGCCCATCTTCAAATACTTGACTCATCTCGTTCGCATCCATCCTCAGAGCCTTCGCCATCAATCCCAGGATTCTCATTCCCAGATTATGAATCTCCGAATAATATGATTCCGTAGCATTCCTGAGGGATGAAGGAAGCGCAGGGAATAAATGGGGTTTTCTTTTGTGTATAGGATTTATCGTGAAGAATAATCTATCACCCCAATCAAGCTTATCATCCAGCCGGTCAACCATTCCAAACCCTTCGAATTCTCCGGATCTTACCTTGAACTTCATCTTCTCCTCCAGAGGAAGATTGAAGAATTCTTCAATCTCATGTTTCAGCTTCTTCATAACTGAAGAACTTACACCATGATTCACCAACTGCACTCATATATATACCATCACAAAAAAAAAAAGTATGTTGATTCAGATGCACTGAACTTAAAAAAACTATCCATTCAATAACGGATTATACCATCCGTCTAGTCCTAACTTACAGTTGGTTGAATATAGTAGATTGATATGTAACTAAAAACATGTTATGTTAGGAGGATGTTAACCTGAAAAAATCCCCATTCTTTACAAGCGGTGTGCAAATTCTGTAATTCTGAATCTGCAGATCTTGTTGAGAAGAGTTTGTTTACGTCAATTACGGGTAACTGGTGGCAGGCCACGGCACCGGAGAGGGGTGGCTCCTGATTCAGATGGAGATAGCGATGTGGAATGGCAGACATGGGCTGTTTGGCGAGCTCCTTAACACTAAGAACTGAGCCTGATTTGCTTTCAAAACCGTTTGATTCCATGGCTAGTTTCTGCATGCATCCCTATGATCGGAGGTTAATAGAGAAGGTAGTTATATATTTTAGAGCAAAAACAGGAAGTAGGATTTTGAAATTTTTAAAGAATCTTAACATTAATTTAAAGGATTAATAGTTGTTCGTCTTACTTTAAAAAAATTAAGAGAAAAAAAAAATAAAAATCACCTTAATACATACTTTAATACATACTTTAAAAATATGATAATTTAATTTTTTTCAATAAAAATTTATTGAAACGACATAATTTTGAAATGAGTTTCTTCTTAATCTTTAGAAGAAGGTAAAGCTAATAGACATTATTTTCTTAATTTAATATTTTAATATTTCTATATATGAATGGTCATAAATTTGATTTGAATTATTTATTTATTTTTTCTTGGTATTAATGTGTACAAGAAAAAAGAATTGGTGGAAAAACATTAATGTGGATAGATATGATAAGAGATGAATCTTGAAGCAAGAATGTAGTGTTATAGATGGAAAATTTGAAGAAAAATTCAATCAAATAATCACAGAAAAGTCACACAAAGCACTAAAAGAATTTTCGTTGGTTGCTGTTTCTTTCTTGTCTTTAGGTTTTAAATCATTTTGAACTTTAATAGGAACAAATTAATTAAATTTAGTAATAAATAGTATAGTATTATTGTAATTGATGAAATCATCTAACCAATTCACCTCTAATTTTTTAAGATATAAATCTCACAACATTAATTAGAATTAATTAGAAGTATTGGAAAGGGAACAATTTTAAAAGTGTTAAAAGATCGATATATTTT